GTAACTCAAACCGAGCACTCCTAAGCATTTATCTGGATGACTAGCAAGGACTTCGCTTAAGGTTCGGGCAACATCCTTCCAACTTTCTAATGTCCTGTCCACTTTAGAGAGATGTCCAGAAATAACTGAAATCGTAAAGGGTAGTCCTTGGCATTTTTCTGCTATTTCCTTTCCAATTTCTCCCAACTCAGGAGGATGATCGTGTTCTAGTCCAAAAACCTGATCACGAAGTAACTTCCAACTGTTATCTAAATCCAAGAGGTTCATCTTATGAGGGCTACTAGTAGTTGCATAAATCGCTACCTCAGTTTCCCTAGTAGTCAATAAGACTCGACTCCTATTGTTGCAATCAGGAAATATTCCTCTTATGCTATCCCAAACGTCCTTACTCCAAATATCATCAACAACAACAAAGTATCTTCTACCATTTAACTCTTTCTTCACTAGGCCTGCTAAGTCAGAGTCATCCTTGTTATCATAATCTTTTGCATTGGAACTAACTGTTTGCTTTGAAATGCAACGTAAAGCTTCTAACAACACATTTCTACCTCGAAATTCTTGAGATATTGTAACCCAAGCAAGAATGTCAAAGTGATGATACCTGATTGCGAGATGATTATACGCTTTTCTAGCGAGTGTGGTCTTGCCAATGCCACCCATGCCTGCTATTGTGACAATTTCAAGATCCCGCGATTGTCCTGTCAATAATCTTTTAATTATGATCTCCAAGTCATCATCAAGTCCGTGCACAATATCATCTTCCAAATATGTAGAAGAAGTGCCAATTAAGGAATCCCTCGATAATTCAAGAATTTGATCATCATCATCATCATGAGTAGTTGTGTTAAAACCAGAAGCAATAATCTCCATCATTTCTTTCTTTATTGTATACATTTCATCAACAACTACTGGCAAATCCTCCTGTTGTACATTTGCATTTGTGTAGGATATGCCATCGATTATATCGGAAATCTTCAGCTCAACAGCATATTTTGCATGATTAGCAGCAATTCTAATTTTTTCCTCCAAAGATTTGATTTTTTCAACATTCTTATTGCCTGATCCTTCAAGAAAATTATAAAAATATTGAGCAGTAGCATGAATAGATTCGAGCGCTTTAGCAGTGAGAGCATCAAAGAGTTGTGGATTTCGTTGCTCAAGAGTTTGAAGAAGACAAGTTACAGCACTATAAGCTGCCATCAAAGGTCTCAAGATGAACAAGCTGGATGTTTTTTGAGTGGTTAAAATGGACAACGTATCATTCAAGATAATATTAAATTCTCTGTTTTTTAGATTAGGGAAGAATACTACTCCTTCACAATATGTGGTCTTAGAATTGACTCAACAAGTCCTTTAACTTTTTCAAATAATGAATTTTAAGATCTATTTTATCATCATATTAATATGAAAAAGATGACAACTATAGTATTTTCATATAAATTTTGAATATCTAAATTTAAATGATAAATTATTTTAATTCAATTTAACTTTAAAAATTAGTCAAATTGACTCACCGAAAATAAATTGCAACAAATAAAAAAGAATGGACGGAGTAAAAAATAGTTTTTTTTAAAATCATTTTCTCCATTATTGACCTGACGAGCCTCACCAGCAAGGGAGGAGCTACAACTAAGTAAGGGTGGTCCGTGGTCAGTCGACCCTTCACCGAAAAATTAGACCGTGGCATGCTCATCTAAGCCTCTGAGGTCCCTGCTTTGGTCCTTGCTTGAATAAAATCTTTTTTCAAAAAATAACAAAGAAAGAAGGAAAGAAATAGAAATAGTTGCCCCGTATCTTTAAATTTGGATGCACCCATTCATGAGTAAAAATATATATTTTGTGCACCCACTTTGCTAAAAAAAATCACCCCACCCTTTTAAAGTTTGAACACTCTTGACGAAATTTCTAGGTCCGCTATACTAGATTAAGTCGTTGTTACATAAGGATACTATGTGAATGCAATTTGTCAAAAAACTTATCTGCGTTAATTTCTAAATGTTCAATGTTCCTTTGTTGGAACATCATCTTCCACTGATTGATTTACACTTTGTTTGGATGGTTGTTATCTTTGCATTGTACTGTTAGTTTAAATGTAATATCGTGTCTAAATACCGATTCGATAGGAGTAGGCCGCCCCAACTTGGCAACCTTGAATGTAGCACACTCATGTTTCAGGAGTGAAATGAGTAGAAGGTATATATCATTCAACTCTAGAAATTAAAATTGGTGATATTGATTTAGTCAAATGAGATTAAATAAAATGCGGACTTGATTAGAGTATTAAAAACTTTGGGGTATAGATTAATTTTTCAGAAATTTTGAAAAGTCTTGCCTCTCATTTTAAAAGTCTTCCCTGAAGAAATTAGTCCATGACTTGATATCGAGAGAATGCTACCTCCAATTCCCTATATGTTCGATAGAGCCAAAGATTCCCCACTGATCATTGAATAGTGATGAAGGAGAAGGAGGAGATAATGACGGTTATGGTGGAGGACGAAGAAGAGGATAAAGTGATGGTGGTGGAGGAGGAAGAGCAGGAGGTGGTGGAGGAGGTGACGGTGACGACGGAAGAAGGGTTAGGAGGGTGAGGGTTGAGGTGGGACTGGGTGGAAAAGATAGGGTCATTGTGTAGATGATAAAACTTGAGGGTTTTAAAATTAGTGTCTTTAGAACTAATCTTAAGGTTTCCTTACTTGCGCCATGGTTGGATTCGCAGGCAAGGGAGGAACTTCGTAGTCCTCCTCAACAGATTCCCACAGATCATTTGCCTCCATATGTGCCTCCATTCTTGCTGCCCAGATATGATAGCCTTCACCTTTTGAAGACAGGTAGACCTAGTGCAGTGAAAGGAGTTTCTAAATTCATATAAGAAAAAAAAAGAAATAAGGAAAATGAGTTTCCCTCAATTACATGTCCCTCAAGAAGAAAGCTTTGATACCACTTTTGTTGGAGTTTTTAGGCTGAACTTCAATTCTATAAATAGAAATAAAGGCAAGAAGAGAAGAAATATTTTCTGGTGGAAAGATGATTTTAATTAATTGAACTGAAATGATGTTTAAATATAGAAAAAATGCAATAACAAAAGCCTATATCTAAGCAATTACTTTGCACATGATTCCATGATAAACAAACTCTTAAAAATAGCAACTTAACGCCTAAAAAACAATAACTAACTTAAAATGCTGAAGATGGCTAAAAAGTTGGCAAAAATCCAGCAACTTCTATTGACTAGTTAGTTACTGGAGGCAATTAATCAACAAAATCCTTATAATTCCATCTCATGATAGTGTAAACCCTTATAATTTTGCCATGTGCCTCTCAATTATCTAATGGATCTTATTTATTTATTTTTAAAAAGGGAATGCATTTATACTATAAATACATTTATTGTGAATTTTCATTTAATACATAATTTCTTGGATTAACTTGTAAATGGATAAGCAACTTGCAAATAACTTACCCAACAACTTCAATCCTTGTCTAAATTTGTACATCAGCTTGTAATCAAGTGCTTCCCATGTGAACCGGGTTCATGACATAAACGTTTTAAATTCAATCAAAGAAAACGGGTATAGAAAGAAAGAGAGAGAAGTATTTAGCGTGGATTGAACTCTTTTACTCCTTAATTAAGCAAATCTGGACACATATAAGGGTGTAACTGAGGAACCCTCGAGAATCCGAAAAATTCATTCACCCTTAGCCTAGCTCTAACATAGATATATATCATTTAGAGTTGACAAACAGACAGATTGAACTGAATTTGAACAGGTCAAAATAGATTTAATTAAGCATGTTATTGATCTGCCCAAAAACTATTTGAATTGAAATGGATTGGGCTAAAATGCGAATCATAACCCAATATGCTAACTCTTGAATTGACGATCGTGGAGAAGAATGAGAGGATTATTGAAATAAAATATTATTACTTGTCGCTATTTCCCTTTACTTGATTATTATTATTATTCAAGAACGAAATGTAGTCATTTACCCTGGTCATGACTTGTGGAAATATATACTATACTTTTGACATTTTTCAATTGCCTGTTTAAAAATACCAATTTTTTTTTTGGATGAAAGCTGTGAAGTAAGTTGTACTCCCTCCGTCCTAACGTGACACATCTCGTTTTTCGAGAGTCAATCAGTTTAAGTTTGATCAGAAATGTGCACATGAAATCTTCAATTTTTTTGAAATGAAATTTATATATCCATAAACTACGTAAAAAGTACTAAAAGTCATAATAATTGACAAACCAAAATATTTAAAAGATATATGAAAATTTACGGTAAAAAATAAACTTGTTTGAATCTCAATATCTGAAATGTGTGACATAAATTGGGATGGAGTGAGTAATAGTTTGTGAGTGTACTTGTCCAAAGAACAATTCATTTAGCTCCACCATTTTCAGAATAAAATACCATGTACATGTAAACATGAGCTTGCAGCTAGCAATGAAAAACTCACATTTCATGGATTATATATTAATGAAACAAACAATTTCTCTATATAAATCTATCTTCAATGTTTGAGGAATACTTACAAAAAGAGAAGGTTTTATTCTCTTGCAAGATTCATTCAACACACTACACTACAAATCATGTTTGTTTATTTTGGACTGGAATCTGTATGCCTTGAAGAAGAAAGTCATGATCGCGCTGTTTTGGAGAGAGTCGTTGTACATGCCTACTTAATCTTTTTTCTTTCTAAATCCATTTGCTTTCTATGATGTATTGCATAATTCATATTAGTTTAATCCTTTATTGTAGACTTCAAGTCAGCTTGCTACTTATTTTGTTGGACTTCTGGGGACCCCTATCAATATTTTATTCTTAACTTTTAGATTTTAATATGTTGCATTCCAATAACTTGAGTAGGCCAAATGAACTTTTTGGACTAGTGCTCAATGAAATTAACTTTCATATTTTCAGAAGAGAATCTCTTTTCAGCAAGAGTGATCTCAAGATGGAAGCTTTAAGAGTTGAGGAAGCCTCAAATTTCAGGTCCCAATGTATGTACGATGTGTTCAGGAGTTTTAGAGGCGAGGATACTCGTAAGACTTTCACTGATCAGCTTTACAAAGCTTTGGTGGATGAGGGTTATCGAACATTCAGAGATGGTAATGAAATTGAAAGAGGGGAAGATATTAAATCTGAATTGGATAAAGCAATTCATAGCTCAAAGAGTTCAATTATCGTCTTGTCAAAAAATTATGCAACGTCTAGTTGGTGCCTTAATGAGCTTGTCATGATTTTTGAAAACAAGAGGAAAAGAGGACATGCTATATTGCCAGTTTTCTACTATGTAGATCCGCTCGATGTTGGAAAGCAAATGGGGAGATTTGCTACTGCATTTTCTAGTTATGAACAACAAATAATGGAACAATCTGATTAAGGTAAAGAGGAGTGGATCGAGAAGATCAAACGGTGGAGGGCAGCACTCAGGGAAGTGGCTGATCAAGGGAATGGCATGGTTTTACAGAATTCAGATCAAGAGTAATTTCATTCATCTTCTCTTTCTCTTTTGTATGTTTCTCATCTCTTACGCATGTTGGTACCAAATGATGAACAACGTATAAGATCCGAGCATATGGAAACAATGGCTATGTCTTATGCACGAAACAAATAAAAAGTAGAAGCTTACCGGGAGTGAGACTTTGACTTTTGCTTTTGAACAAAACTATGATCTCTTATTAAAACTTTAGATGGCTGAATTTTCCTTGTAGATGGCTGTCAATTGAACATCAATCAATGGATACACAATGCTTGCTTCAACAAAATAGTGCAATAACCGAAAACATTACTCACTTAAATGAAAACAGACATACAAAACCTAAGCTTGAGTAAATACTCATTGTCAGAGTAGCCAAATTAATATCAGGCATAGAAGTTCATAAATATCAGGCATAGTTACTCTGTTTGTCAACCGTAACACATATGACTAACCAACATTTCTGTTTTTGTTTGTTCCACTTTGATCTTTATTGTAGGACTGATGAGTTGAGATTTATAGAGAAACTTGTGAAAGTTACTGAAAATAAAGTAAACCGTTCAATCCTCAGTGTTGCTCCTTACCTAATTGGTATACATTTTCGGGTTAACGATATTTGCTTGTGGTTGCAACACAAAACAAATGATGTTGGTATTTGGGGCATTTGTGGTATGGGTGGTATAGGGAAGACAACAATCGCCAAATATGCATTTAATTCTAACTTTGAAATTTTGAAAGAAGCAGCTTCCTCTACAATGTTAGAGATTTTTCCGAGTCTACCGATGTACTAATTTATCTTCAGAAACAATTTCTTTCTGATTTTCTTGATGGGAGGAAGATTGACATTCAGAGTGTTGTAGATGGAATCAATCAGATCAAAAGTGCTGTTTATGGTAAGAGGGTTCTCGTTGTGCTGGATGATATTGATGAAGTGGACCAATTAGCTGCTATCGTTGGAATGCGAGATTGCTTTTATTCAGGTAGTAAAATTATAGTGACAACTAGGCAGATAGAGTTACTGAGGGCTTGTGAAATTGAATTGATCGATGATGTTCAGAAACTGAACAAAGACGAATCCGTTGAACTATTTAGTTGGCATGCATTCGGACAAGGCCATCCAGTCGAGCATTACACCAAGTTCTTGAGAAGGATTATAGAATACTGTATTGGATGTCCTCTAGCTTTACAAGTTTTGGGTTCTTCTCTCTCTGGTAAAAGTCTAGATGTATGGGAAAGTACACTGAAGAAACTAGAGGTAATTCCTAATAGTCAAGTATCCAAGAAATTGCAGATTAGTTTCGCCTTTATACAAGATGATCATGACAAAAGCCTATTCCTTGACATTGCCTGCTTCTTTCTTGGAAAGAATGTAGACCACGTTGGCACTATACTTGATGCATGTGGATATTATTCAATGGTTGGGATTCAGAATCTCCAAGATATATTCTTGTTAAAAATTGATGAATATGGTAGACTGATGATGCATCCATTAGTTAGAGATATGGGACGAGAAATTATACGTCAAGAATCACCTAAGCATCCTGAAAGACGGAGTAGATTGTGGCATTACAAGGACTCATTTAAAGTTTTGAAAGAAAAAAATGTAAGATAATTCATCTTCATTTACTTTTGCAAATCTAGTTTTATATATGTTGTTTCACAAATCAATTGATCAATTTATGTTTTCATCAGGGTTCAGATATAATTCAAGGCCTGAACCTTAGGTCTTGTGCAGAGAAAGATAAGCCACCAAGGAGCTTCCATCATCCAACAACACAGGAGTACTTGCAGGAATGTGCCAATATAATGAGGAAAATAAGACTGTCACGCCAAAATGATCCACCACGGCAACCACCACCTCATAAAGTTCTCCTTTATGGTTCTAATAATAAAAACTCTGAATCAAAGAAGGTGGACAACATCAATACTGATGCCTTTTCTGGTATGCGCAAATTAAAACTGCTGCAACTTGATGGTTGTGCTGGCACAAATTCCCATATAAATGTTTACCTGATAGCTTACCTTTGGAGAAAGTGGTGGCCCTGGAAATGCGCCATAGTAGATTGCATCATCTTTTCCAAGGAAACAAGGTAAATATGGCACAAACTCCATATATAGCGAAACTTAATATATTCAACAAGCAGATGTTGTTATATTGTATTAATAATCCCGCCTACCTGACTGAACATCTAGTTTCTGAAGTGAAGTATGCATGATATTAAATTTATGGACATGTCTGCTTTTAGGAGATAATAATGGACATTGTATTTTTTGTTTCTTTGGATTGCCAATTTGACCAGAATGTTCTAGTTTACACAATGTGTATTCTCTCTGCCTTGAAAACTTGTTCCTTTCACAAGTCCTTTTTATAGAGAGTTTGTTGTTTCTTTGAGCAACGAACTATTGTAATTATTAAGTCACTACCATGTCTAAGATTCAACATTCTTATGAATTGTTTTCCCTTTTTCTCTAACTCGTTTGAGTGGTTGATTGTTTAAAGATTGATAGATGAGTCAGATACAGATTTTTATTTGTTTTTCTTACAGGTTTTCAGTGCGTTGAAGATTCTGATCTCAGTCATTCAGAAGGTCTGTCCTGCACCCCTGACTTTTCAAAGCTCCCAAATCTTGAGAGGATAATTCTCAAGTACTGCACTAGGTTGATTGAGATTGATAAATCGATTGGGGAACTAAAGAGACTGCTGATTTTGAACCTAAGAAGCTGCCAAAGTCTAAGGAGGCTTCCCAGATGTATTAGTAATCTTCATTCCCTCGAGAAGATGATTCTGTATGGTTGCTCAAAACTTGTATGGTCTTCATTAGAGTTGAATAAGATGCAGTCATTGCTAGAACTTGATGCCGGTGGAACTGCTAACGATCAAGTTTCTACTTCTGTAAGTAAGAAGCATTTGCTGATGTGCTCTTCAGTCTCAAGCCCAAGAAAATCTCCTGGAATCCTGTTAACTACAGTATCTCATACATTAGTAACCTTAAGTCTTATTGGATGTGGTCTATCTAGTGATTTGATTCCAGAGGAGATTGGTGATTTCTCCATGCTGCGGAACTTGTTTTTAAGTGAGAATCCAATTCACAGTCTACCAGAAAGCATCAAGAGGCTTACCAATCTCAGGAAACTTGAGTTAGAAAATTGTGAACAACTTCAATATCTTCCAGAGATCCCAGCCAGTGTGAAAATCTTGAGTACTTGGCAATGCAGGTCACTCCAACGGATACACAATTTACCAAATTTATTGACAACATTGAATTTTCTTGGATTATCTTGCAACAAACTTATTGAGGTTCAGGAAATGTTCCAGCTAAAATGTATTTCTTCATTTGATGCTGAGTTAATCAGTGTTCTGAGATTACCCAACTTGAGTGACATGAAAGTGGATCTCTACAACAGTCTGATTCTTACAAGATGGAAAGGTCCTATACAGGTTTGCTCCATCTCCTACAAGTCCCATTTATATTTCAAAATTGGTTAATATGAATTTCTTGCTTCTGTCACACTTATAGGGGAAGTAAGATACCAAGATTTGATTGGATAAAACATAATCTCCTTTCGTCTCCACATGATGTATATATATTTGTGTTTAATATGCAGGGCCTCTCTGAATTTGGTATATTCAGCACTTCTTTTCATGGAAGTGAGCTTCCAGACTGGTTAAGCTACAATTCTACGGGGTCTTCCTCAATCAGTTTTGATGTGCCTAATCATGACATTCAGGGTTTGAACTTATATGCTATCTATGATAATGCCAGAACATCGTATTGTACAAGAAGAAATAAATTTTGGAATGAGTTTCATGTTAGAGTGGCAAATAAGACCAAGGGTCTGAGATGGACATACAGTCCAACATTTAAGGGTCTTCCAGATAATGGTGAAGATATCACATGGTTATGCCATTGGGAAATAGGAGATCACTTGGATACTGGAGACTCTATGAGCATTTCAGTGACTCTATTTTCTGGTGCTCGGTTGAAGGAATTTGGCGTCCACATTGTCTATAAGCAAAATGACAACAATTTGAGATGTAATACATCATCTCCTCCTGCACACCATCTCATCAATGAGGTGGATATCTGTGCATATCAGGTTCAAGGCTCCTACTTCCTCTGTCATCATGACTTTGATGTTCAACAAAATTGTTCCATTTATGGATGGAATTCAACGGGCTGGTATGAATTCTTGTTTGGTGATAATTCTGAAGATTTTCCTGACGAAATGTCTCCCTACGACTAGCCAGAATGTCTATGGACTTCTATTATATCTGGAGTGGAGGAGGATAAAACTTGGTCATTACCTTGATGCTGGTGTGGAGCTAAGGTTTTCTTAAATTATTATGACTGACCATTCATTATATTTTATTTTCATTGGGAAGTAGGTTCCTATTTTATCAGTATCATAGGTAATCCACTACATTTGCAGGTGGTTCTTCAAAAAGGAGTAGTGAATGGGTATCAATGCAGGCTGGTTCCATTCCCAGGTGGTTCAATGTCAAACTGATGTCCTATTCATTAATTTGCATTTGTAGTGCCCGAATCAAGTCCGTTTCTAATTTAAGAGGATATAATCCATGAGGAAAAGCTAACGTAAGCCCTTGTAGTAGCGCGTGTAATTCAGTATGAGTACTAGTTATTTCCAGACTGATCATTTCTATAGTACTTCTATGGAGTCTATTTTGACTTACTAATTTCATTTCAACTGCAATTCTTAGACTGTGTTGGAGTGGTAATTAATAACTCTGTTTTATGTATTTGTGGTCTATTGTGACAAACTAGCCACATGTAAATTGTTTAAGCATGTTATGATCAATATTCCAGATCCAACTTAGCTAGGTTTCTATCATTTCCTCTTCAGTGTTAGCTTTGTGGATAATTGCAGAAGAAAAGTATAATTCAGGAAACCTTCTGCTAGCCCAAGATCGTTAACTATGATCGGAAGATTTAACTAAGGAAGAG